CACACACACACACACACACACACACACACACACACACACACACACACGCCTTTGGAAATGGGAGAATCGGGACGTGGATGATTCTAGAGGCGTTCCTAATCGCCAGGTGTGAGACTATGTGGTGTTTGTGGACTAGAGTAAGTTTCCGGCATTCATCATATTCCTGGTATTATGTTTTTCTTTTTTGTGCCGAATAACAAAGGAGAGGAGAGGGGAGACTCATACACACAACCGCTTTGACATCAGCAACCTATTGGTCAGCCCAGCTTGGAAGAGAAAGGGGAGTCGTGTTGCCTGGCGGGGTGGGACGAGAAAACAGCCATGTCAAAATCTCTTGTCCTCCTGATCCGTTAGTCACGTTCGAGAAGGTAGAATGGGTGTAGACGGTTTTTGCCCTGGTGGTCTGAACTCAGCTTCTCCTTCCTTAATCGCAGATCTGCGTGCCCTCGAGAACAGATGACCACTGACAAAGACAGGGCTGCCCCAACCCGCTTCCCTTTCCCCCACTGGCAAGAATTTTGTTTTGTTTTGTTTTGACTGTGCTTAATTTCTTTCTTTCTTTCTTTCTTTTCAATCTTTCCTTTTCTCTCCCCAGCTAACGTGCCAAATCAAAGATCAGCAGGGAAAATCATCCGAGAAGAAGTCTTCAAGGCGCATCCAATGCTTAGCAGGGCCACCCTGACAGAGGAAGGAAGACGATGTTGCGGGAAGGCGAGGGTTCGGGGCAGCTGGGGCGGAGGTGGCCGTCCGCGCCCCGGCGGCTTCTTGCGCTGCCCTAGGGGAAGAGGATGGGCCTGAGGTCCGGGAAGAGCCTTCCCGAGCCCCCCACTTCCAATGCGGGGAGGGAAAAGTTCCGAAGCCGCCTCGAGGGAACAAAAGCCTGATTGGGGCCCGGCTGGCCTGGACAGGAACGCTGAAGCGAACCAGCCCGCTCCGGAGACGGGCAGGGGCTCCTGCTGGCCCGGGGTGGCCGGAGCATCCCTCGCCGCCGCCCTCGCCACCGCGCCGCCGCCGCGGCCCCTGCGTTACTGGGGGAGTCGGTGCCGCTGCGACAGGGGAGGACGCGGCTGGAGCTGAAGGAGGCTCCAACGCGCAGGCGCCGCCGAGCCCTGCCTGGATGCTCAGTCAAGGCACTCAGGAAAAAAAAAAAAAAAATTCAGCAATTTATAGAAAGAAGAAGCTATAGTCTGTCGGGATATCCAACGCCAACAGGTAGGAGGATATACTCTTGGTTAAGTTTGGGGGAGGGGGCTGCAACCGTGTTGACGAAACTGCAGGTTCGCCGGGATACTGCCCTCCCTGAGGGTTTTTTTTTTTTTTTTTTAAACAATAAACTGCATAATGGAAGTACATTCAGACAATGCATCTTCTGTAAGGTTTATTGAGAGTTCGGTTTCTGGAAAGCTTTGCAAAACTGAGGAATATCAGACTGCGAATCACCGGGAACCCTTCCCTTGCAGCACAGAAGCAATCTCTTCCTATCTTCGAGTATGTAACGCATCTCCTCTCTCCTCTCTCTCTCTCTCTCTCTCTCTCTCTCTCTCTCTCTCCCCTCCCCCATCTCCGTTATAAATCCAGGGGTGGTGGATTTCAGGTTTCGTAATGTTGCATGATGCGATCGGTATTTACACGGGGATGTACCAGTTGGGAAATTAACATCGTCGGATGCCTGGGCTTCCATCAGCATATTCCAGGCAAGTGAGAAGTGGCAAAGGAAACACGCTTCGTGGGAATAACAGAGGAAACTGATTTCCCTGGTGCAGTTCGCAGGCACCTGGGAGACGGTGTGCATTTTGTTTGAAAATAAAGCCACTTGTGATTTGCAACAGAGATTATCAGTGTAAATGAGAAAGGCTTAATTGCCTAAGAAATAACCGCTTCATGTTATATTCATTTGAATCCAGGCAGCCAAGGTTTACAAATGGAAGTGCATATTATCCCTCTGGGTGTGTTTCCCTGGCCAGTATTTACACTGATCATTTTTAATAATCATGTAGCTTTAAAAGAGGCAGGATTTGCCCAAAAGGGGGTGGGGGTTGGGGTGGGGTAGAGAAAGACAAAAGATTAAATCACAGCGAATCTTGGGACAGGTTTCTATTCATTTTGAAGTCTGGTGTTGAAATCATGCTTCAAGATGAATCAACAAATACTCTATGCAGCATGAACAGTGGCACTTGACTTAAAAGACATATTTTGCAGAGGTTCTCTGCATGCATATGGGCTGAGAAGCTTCCTTTAAAATACTGACAGTCCTAAAGATGCTCGAATGATTGTGGGTAGCCTCCTCTCTGTCTCTTATCAGCAATCTTGCAGATTGCATTGCAAGGCTAGTGATTAATTCTTGGGCTGACATATTTTACAACTGTGTAACAATCTAGTCCCTTCCCTCCTGAAGCTGTGGAAATCTAACTCTATGGTATCTAAAATAAGGACATTGTTAAACTCACCTAGCTCACAATATGAAAAAAACAGTGAGTACTCTGACATCTCGAATTTGCTGCTGAAGCAAACTGTAGTGTTTAAAATGGAAACTTTACTTGCTTCCTCATAAAGGAACAGCTTTATGATGACACTGACATCATTGCTTGTTAACTTAAGAACTGATAGTTCTCTTTTTTTCTTCTTCTTCAGATATTCTGATGGCAGATGAAATGGAAGGAAGGAGGAAGCATGGCCACAGATTGGATCAGATCTCTTTGTGGATTACATTTTCAGTAAAATGTATGGATCTATCTTTTCCTTGTTCTTATATCTAGATCATGAGACTTGACTGAGGCTGTTTCCATATCCTCCATCCATCTATGGCGAACTATAGCCATGCAGCTGACAACATTTTGCAAAATCTCTCGCCTCTAACAGCCTTTCTGAAACTGACTTCCCTGGGTTTCATAATAGGAGTCAGTGTTGTGGGCAACCTTCTGATCTCCATTTTGCTAGTGAAAGATAAGACCTTGCATAGAGCTCCTTACTACTTCCTGCTGGATCTGTGCTGTTCAGACATCCTCAGATCTGCAATTTGTTTTCCATTTGTATTCAACTCTGTCAAAAACGGCTCTACCTGGACTTATGGGACTCTGACTTGCAAAGTGATTGCCTTTCTGGGGGTTTTGTCCTGTTTCCACACTGCTTTCATGCTCTTCTGCATCAGCGTCACCAGATACTTAGCTATTGCCCATCACCGCTTCTATACAAAGAGGCTGACCTTTTGGACGTGTTTGGCTGTGATCTGCATGGTGTGGACTCTGTCTGTGGCCATGGCGTTCCCCCCAGTTTTAGACGTGGGCACCTACTCGTTCATTAGGGAGGAGGATCAGTGCACCTTCCAACACCGCTCCTTCAGGGCTAACGATTCCCTAGGATTTATGCTGCTCCTCGCTCTCATCCTCCTAGCCACCCAGCTTGTCTACCTCAAGCTGATATTTTTTGTCCACGATCGAAGGAAAATGAAGCCAGTCCAGTTTGTAGCAGCAGTCAGCCAGAACTGGACCTTTCATGGCCCTGGAGCCAGTGGCCAGGCAGCTGCCAATTGGCTAGCAGGATTTGGAAGGGGTCCCACACCACCCACCTTGCTGGGCATCAGGCAAAACGCAAATACCACAGGCAGGAGACGGCTGTTGGTCTTGGATGAGTTCAAAATGGAGAAAAGAATCAGCAGAATGTTCTATATAATGACTTTCCTCTTCCTAACCTTGTGGGGTCCCTACCTGGTGGCCTGCTATTGGAGAGTTTTTGCAAGAGGGCCTGTAGTACCAGGGGGGTTTCTAACAGCCGCTGTCTGGATGAGTTTCGCCCAAGCAGGAATCAATCCCTTTGTCTGCATTTTCTCCAACAGGGAGCTGAGGCGCTGTTTCAGCACAACCCTTCTTTACTGCAGAAAATCCAGGTTACCAAGGGAACCTTACTGTGTTATATGAGAGAGCGTCTGTAAATCTTTAGCCTTGTGAAACACTAACCCTCTCTGCTAAGCGATGGTGGCCTGTAGCCATGTCTTGAGAAGAGAAATCAAGGATGGGATCAGCAGTTATAAGGATTTGGGCAACATTCTGCAGTCTTTGCAATAGTTCACCTATAATCCTATTTTAAATCTCAGAGTGATCCTGCTGGCTGCCGGCGAAGGTTTGTAATTAAGAAAGGACAGAACCACTGCCCTAAGTTTCTTTCTGTGGTTGAACACTAGATAATGAAAGTAGCAGGTGCTAAGTATCAGTGCTAAATGCTGTGTATATCATTACATATGAAAAAAAAACTTAAAAAAACAATTAGCATTGGACATTTTAATAAATTAAGTTGACATGAGGTAAATGTGTTGATAAAAGCTAATTTTAGAAGTTTGAAGACTTTAAAAACATTTCATACTATTTTTGTTTTGCAAAGACTACACTGCTGGGGGACTTAACAGTACTGTAATCCTCTAAAGATGTGCCATGAATTATTGGGGTACAACACTTTAAACACGCCTTGTAAGTTTGGGGGAGCATTCCAAAGCAGCATATTGGTTCCAATTAGAGTTTACCTTTTTTGTATTAATATATTGCTATTTCTAAATGCCACTTTCCTTCCCTACCAGTGAAATTGCTAGCATTGAACTGTATTATGTGTTTTTTGTTGATTCAGTAAAAAAAAAAAAAAAAAAAAAGTTTCAAGTTTGTTTCTATTTTACAAATGCTAGATATCTGTCTAGGAGGCAACATGATGGAATCAACTGACCACAGATGAGCAGTTCTAATAATGCAAAATAAACACGTGTTGCCTTAAAGGGTTATCTAGTATCCTTTACATTCTTTAGCAGGGGAGCAAACAGATAAGAGGCATTGAGTCAGTGGCCACCCTGGCTGTTCATCCGGAAGTGCATGGAAGAGCACTGAATACTTCCCCTCTTTCCTCACCTGGTTTGGAAATTAAGGTGCACATCACTGGGATAATGAGATTTTCCTCTGAGATGTGCTACCCACTCCAGTGTGATCTAAGATGCAGACAGCTGATGTGTGTTTATATTGTGAGTCAGCTGTGAGGGGAGCCCACAGCCTTAGTGTGACATCCGGCACAATTTGTGAAGCGTTTACTGTACGGAGGGCACAGTCTTCTTTATACTTTCTGCACATTCCGTGTATTGTTCATCTCAATTATTTCAGTTTTAACTTGTGAAAACTTATAAGATGATTTCTGGTATTTTTAGAAATACATTAGATTCTGTGAGTCTCATTCTTTAAGATACAGATGTGTGAACTTCAATATAAAGTTGCATTTGCCAAAATTTATCTGTGTAGCCTGTTAATTTTTGTGGAATAAATTTTACATTTTTAGCATATAATTTTCATTAATCTAACAAACAAGCACAAACTAGAAAATTGGCTTTATTATGATTTTTTTAAATTTTTGTAGCTACTGTATTCTGAAATTGGAAATGTATAAATGACAATATAAACCCAACTTGATTTTTATAAAGCATTATTGGGTAGCATTTTAAATCCATCCCTTTATTTATTCTTATATGCCAGTAGTATTTACTAATGATTACATGCCTAATGGTTTGGAATTTTAATATAATTATTACACTTAAGTGTACAGTAGAATTTTTTATTTCTGAATCAATTACTTGGAAGAATGGCTTGCAGTAACAGTATAACAACTCAGAGAAAGTTGCTATTAGTTCTGTTGGCTTTGCATAGTTTTGTTTGTTTCTGAAAGGATGTTTGTTTGTTTTGCTTTTGTATTTGAAAAATAAGATTAAGAACCTGGTGAAATAGAATTTCTCATTGATATAGTACTTCTATAAACAGAATTTTAATATAAATAGAAAAATGAATAACTGAAATTTGCAATTGTCTATGCAACTATCCAGTTTTGCTCAAGCCATGATTAGTGAGCATTCTAACCTCATTTCTACACCAAAGCTGACTGGATCTGAGACAAAGTTTAATGCATAGCATTGAGGTGGATCTAGCAAAAAAAGTTCCTTGTTGGTACTAAAACCATTACCAAAACCAAAATAAAAACAATGTTACCAAAACATGGTCTGCTAACATGTTTCCATCTCAAAATTTACAGGAAATGCATATGACATTGATTATTTACATGGAGGAGTTTGCTTAAAGTTTTGAATATCAATCAGAAATTTTATCAGTGATCTTGAGGACAGTGAGCATGTTTCACTAACCCACACTCACATTATTTTGATAAGTAAACAGGTATGGATTAAGAGAGTGGGGGTGTTAGGAAGGACGAGAAAGCCAAGAGAATTTGCCTGACTCCACTTACCTACTTGGACTAGTTTTTCTAAGTAACTGGCCTTGGGGGATTAGTGAATACTGCTAACTCTAGTGACTGTCAATCTTGAACAACTTGGAATTTGCAGGTGAAGGCTGAAGCAGTGGATGAGACGCAGTTATCAATCAAATTTGTAAGTCAAGAAGTAATAGTAGTAATCATAAAAAATAAGAGTAGTTCCCAGTGTCTTTATGATCAAAACACATTAGCTATTTTAGAAGCCACTTCAATAGTTAATATAAACAATTGGTAATGAATTCAACCTGAAAAGGTTACTAATCTTGAATTCATAAAAATGCATTCTCACTGAGGGTCCAACTTTCTATTGAGAAAGACTCATCATCAATAAATAGTGAGTTCCTCTTGAAGTAATTACACTACAGAGCTGAACAGTCTTTACATCGTTTTCCATTGTAGTGGTAATAGTTTTCGGTGGATATGCCCGTACTCTGCCATCTGGTTCGTTTTGTACACAGTAGATTTATGTATTTTTGACTGTGGAATCCCATGCAGAGACCAAACAAGCCAGACAGAGGTGAGTAGCTTGTGTGGTTTTCTACATGGGCGTGAGCTAAAAAGCAAAATTAATTACAGTTGAAAAACATTAATTGTAAGTAGGAAAATCAATTGACTATCTTCTTCAGATGTCAGCTAATTGAGTTTCAGCACTGTCGTTCTCTATAGAGTTAACTGATTTGCCATTGCTAACACTTTTATATAGCCGCCTTTCCTATCGTGTACTCTTCTATGGATGCTTATCTGAGTAGTTTGCTCATGTGTTCACTTGTTCAGCAAATTGTCCTCGGCTCCGGGCTTCACGCTGTGAGCACTGTGGAAAACACGTCAGAATGATCTCCCATTGAGCTTAGACACCCAAGGAAGAATGATCAGGTATGGCGTCCGTCACATTGAGCTTCGGGCACTAAGATAGTAAACACTCCTGGGGCGGAGTCAGAATTAGTGACTACAGACTGAGTGTTTCCACTCTCTCTCTAAGGCCTTATCTCCTGTTTTGCCTTGGAATCTTTTGTATGTCATACTCCCCCAACTCCAGGGAACCGTTTGCTAAATCCTAAGAAAGGTGGGATCCTGTCATTCATGCTTAAATGAACGACGGATGCTGTGTTTTGAAAATAGCTTCCATGTTGCTAACAATTTGCACAAAGTCACTCCCCATGCCACTGTGCCCTAATTGTTTACTTCTGCCAGACGTAACTCAATTCCTGCAAGAGACTTGGCGATGAGTCTTTTCTGCTATGGTCACATGACAATACTTCTCCCAAATCACCATGAACATGTCTGAGTAAAGAAAGCACAGTCAAATGACAGACTTTCCCCTGTGCATTTTAGTGAATACTATCAGGGAGTCTTTCCTGGTGCCAACCAAAGAGAAATAATATATGAAATGAGGTGAATTAAAAAAATATATATTAAAGTGTTCTACCCCTGTTAGGTTTCTACTGCTCCTTATTGGGCTAAAAATTCAATTCCTGGGTGCCCTATCGATGAAAAGTTGGTTTGTAGTTCAACAGTCATTTCCATTGCAAGCACAGTGAAATACATGTATGATTATGTAGACGTATACCTTTCATCTAAGTCCTTTAACTTCCGCTACCTAACAGACTTCTACCTACCTAACTTCTGGGAAGTTGTACATTGAACCCAAACTCCTCACTTCTCTATCTTCACCAACAGACAAATTTGCTTTTTCATTTTTTCTTATTCCATCTGTAGCATAGACTATAGCTTGTTTGCACACAAAATTCCATCTTATATCAATTCCATACTTAAAAAAGAGAGCTGAAATAGTAACTTATGTGTCTCAAACACTGGCTGGTGGTACGAAAATCAAGATAACGTGTGGGAGTCTGAGTTATTTATGATTTCCAAGTCTTGTGAGCTTCTTTTTCCATGAGAAAAACAAATACTTTTGTGTTTGGTAATAGACGTTGATTAATATTTTGAATGGAAATTAAAGTTCTATTATCTATTGTAACTTAATGAAAAACTTTGTTGATCTTCTCAGTTATGGACAAGCCATTGATTTGGGGGCTTTCCTAGGCTTTTAGAAACTAGCTCACACTAAAATGATAGAATTGCTCAAAATTGCGGTGTGACTCCAAAGCCCGCACAGTGCTTAACATGAAGAAACTACTTATAAATGGCCAGCTTGTTTTTGCCATAAGTCAAAGTTGTCAAGTAAGCTAAAAGTGTACTAAAAAAGGAGCAACACAGGGGAGGTTTGAAGTAAACCAGACTGACAAATCTTTTGCCTCATGATGTAATGTGACAGATTCCAAAAATAAATAGTAAAACCAAAAGCCTCTAAATTGAAAAATAAAAATGTTACCTGAATAAAGCCTTGATTTTAAACAAGGGAAGGAGCTTTTGTAGCATCTCCTTCTGCCAAAAGGATGGTGTCCATTAGCTGCTCAAACCCTGTGGGTTAAAAGGCTTTTAATGCCAGTTTCATCTCCTTAAGTCAGGAAGTTGATCCAGCAGCAGACCCTCTAAGGCTCTGAGAGGAAATCCAGGAGAAGACATTTCCCTCAAAGTGTCTTTACAAACAGACCTCCAGGAAGCCACGGGTCAGCTGGAGGTTGGAAGTTCACACCTGGCCTTTACAGCCAGCCCTCCCGCTCCTTCTGACGCCTGAGGACATGTATCCTCTGAGTGTTGGAAGTCCTAGATTGTCGACACCATTGTAAAGCTGTAATTGTAATTCAGGACATGTTGAGTGAGGGTTTGATAGGTAGTAAGATACTGAAGCATTTAACTGATCTGGGTACTCACAATCGGTTATAGAATGAGGAGGCAAGGTATGTGTGCTATCACAGACAAGGAATTGTAATATCCAAAACCACTAAAGCTGGATTGAGCTGGACTTGAAGAAGCCAGAACTAACCAGTTGCTTCTTCTTAAAGACTTAAAGAAAGGAAAAACAAAAGCCATTAACTAGATGAATTTTTTTTTTTTTTATTTTCTCCCAACAAAAGCTGTTGAACTCAATGCTGATTTTTTTTCCAGGAAAATAAATTTCCTACTCTTTTTCCTAAGCATTTATTTTCTGAAACATAACTTTAATGTGCTAATCATTTATTATGCCCCATTGTAGACAGCCTCTTTGCTAAGTGACTTTGCCTTTCTGACTTACCAATAGAAATGGGATTACAATGGAGTATGAACTCCAGAGCTGTTGAGAAGTTCAGTGAGAGCATCCCTGTGAGGCCCTGCCTGAGCCTATCCTTTTAAATACACCTTCCTTTATGCTGCAAAGAACTTCATCATCTCACACTGAAGACATCAACAGAGGATGAGACAATGTGATAAGTGTTGTAAGGGAGGCAGCTGAGATAAGCGTTAAAACAA